GCTGGCAGGAATTAAGGAAGTTCTCCAAAGCTGGGTCTCCAGGTGGATAGGTTTGACATGAGAAGTTGGGGAAAGATTTGAGCAGAAATTAAGACACTGAATGACGAGAAAGTGATCACATCAAAAGGTAGGTGCCCCTGAGGACAGGTATCCAAATTAGCTTTACATGTGAAGACTGGTCTTTGAGCTGCTGCCAAGTTTGAAGAGCTGAACCTGGGAGTCCAGGATTAATTTGGGAAGCCTGGAAGGAAGCTGGCTCCCAAGGAATGTAAACATAAACCTTTTGGAGAGCAGTAGCGTCAATGTAGGACCCCAGATTTTCCCCAGGTTAAGGTTGACCAGATATGAGTTTCAATCAAAGATTACCAGATGCTCAAAGAAATATACCATTAAGAATGAGAGTCAGCATGAACAGAAACAATACATTTAAATTCCAAGAACTTTCATATATTAGAATTTCCAATAACTTAATAATGAAAGCTCAAAAAAGACTCAAAAATTACCAAGCGTATTTTTTTAAATCAAATGGAATTTGTAGATATGGGAAAAATATTTGCATACTCCATTAATACTTTAAAAAACTCAATGTATGAGTTAAACAGCAAGCTACAGTTGAATAAAGAATAACTGAAATGGATATAGATTTGAAGAAATCTGTATTAATCTATATCAAAATATAAACAGAGAATCATGAATGTAGGAAAACAAAGGAGAGGTTAAGGGATATGGAGGATAAAAGTAAAAGGGTTAACACTCATCTAAACAGAGTCCCAGAAGGAGAGAACAGGGATAATACAGACGAGGCAAACTTTAAAGAGAGGACAGATGAAACTTTTCCAAAACTTAGGACACATGTAGTCCTAAGTCCTCAGACACATGAAGGACATCCTATAACAAGCAGAATAAATTTTTTAAATCTACCTCTGGATAAAATGAAGTCAACTTGAAAAATCTTAAAGACAAAGGGAGTATACTGAAATGCACTACAAAAGAAAAGAAAGATTGTCACAAAGAATGAATGTGAGGTTGGTAGCAAACTTCTCAATAGCTTCCAATCATGGAAGGCAATCATGGAATGATATCTTGAAGGTGCCAATAGCAGAATAACTACAAAGTTACCATTATAAACCCAGCAATATTATGTTTCAAATACAAGGGCAAAAGATGATATTTGCAGATAAATAAAACTGAAACAGTTCACCACCAATACTACCTTCATAAAAGGAATGTTTTAAAATTTTACTTTAGAACAGCAATTTTCAACTGGTGTGCCACAAGCATTTTTAAAATATGTTACACCTACCTATTTAGTCAGGGCACTGACCACTCTTCCCCTAGATTGTCAAATAAAAAAATGACAACAGCCAACACAACAATAGTTGTTTGTTGTGAATAAATCAAAATTGTACCTATTTTTGTCAGATCAGCAATATATATATATATATATTTGTCGCAGAATTTTAGTAATTACTTTATGTGTGCCATAAGATGAATAAGGCTGAAAACTGCTGTTTTAGAAGAATGGAAAAGTGAATCTATGGGGAAAGTCTAGAAGAGGAGCAAGCAAAGAAAATTATGAATATGTAAGTAAAGCTAATGCAGGTTTACTTAGTAAAATGATGATAACTATAAGGTCTAATCTGTGTAAGTTAATAGAAAGAAACTAGCTGACATGGAAGAGAACGTGCACATATGAATGAGAGGAGCACTAACAAGAGTGAGTGCTCTAAGAACCGTGTCCATCGGTGAGAGGTCTGAGAGAGTCTTTGCAGTCTTTGTTTAGTACACAAGGTAAAATTTTATGGGCAACTGTAATGGGAATGGAAATTTTCACAGGAGGTGGAAGGCAAAGTTAGGTAGGAGAAATGAACACAAGATGTTTCTTTTGATCATGTAGTGAGTAAAATCAACCACACATGTGACTGTGAAACCTGTATAGACGCTTAAGGTTTTAAAATTGGGTTGGGAAGGATACAGTGCTGGAAATTTCACAGTAGTAGTTAAATTGGGCATATTTTGAAAAAAAAGAAAAAGGCATGTAAGAAGATTCTGGGGGTCACCGGTGGTGGGAGAGAAAGCGAGGAAAGCTTTTACAGCAGAGACATCTGAACTGAAGGGGCTATGGCAGCATAGACTGAGCTTCACCCAGGCTTTGGGCAAAGGCCAGGGGCAAGGCCATGCCGCTGGTAAAAGAATGGCTGAAGATGCTGAGGGGACAATAGGCACTTACGTCCACCTAATTAGGCATGGATAGGGGGTCTCACAGAGGCCTGGCCCCTAGCCCCAGCCTTGGCCAGAGCAACTTACCATGAGCAGGCAGGGAGGGAAGGTGGGAGAAGGGCAATGGGACATCACCCCAGGCAACACCAGGACAGCGGCCAGCTTGCCACACCTTACTTACCTGCAGAAGGAGGCTGAGACAGAAGAAGCCAGAGCATATAGGCCTTGGCACAGGCCTTCAACGAAAGACCCAGCCAGGCAGGGACAGAAATTGTAAGGGAGTGCTGGGCAAGGTGGGGAAATGTGCTTCCAGAATTAATCTCTGCCTCTTTTCCTCCCCATACAAAGCACCTGACCTACACTCATCTCTGACCCCATAGAGTTCCCTTCTGCCACTGAAAAGTGTTAACTTATTAAGCACGAAAACACATAAATTAAAATTCATTTAGAGAAATATACCATATATTTGAAGGAACATAAAAATGCATTTGAATGATAATAGCTAAAACATCCTGCTTATGCTATTCTAAGTGCTTGACATATGTGATGTCATTTGATCTTCATGTGCCCCAGATCACACAGTTAATAAGAGTTGGGATTCCAACACAGACACCCCGGTTCCAATGTCTCCACTCTTAAATATTACACTGCTTCTGAGTGGTTAGTGGCCATCTTGCCTGGAGAAGATACAATTCCAGGCTGGTGCTGTGAACAGAATGCTTGTGTCCCTCTAGGATTCCTGTGTTAAAGATCTAACAGCCAATGTGATGGTGTCTGGAGGTGGGGCCTTCAGGAGGTAATTAGATTGTAAAGGTGGAGCCCTTGTGAATGGGACGAGTGTGCTTATCAGAAGAGAAACATGAGAAAGATGATCTCCCTTCTGAAACAAGAAGACACAGGGAACAGCCCACCATCTCAGGAAGACAGCCCTCACCAAGAATCCAACCATCCTGGCATCCTGGCCACAGACTTCCAGCCTCTGTGTCCATTCTTTACAGTTACCCATAAAATTTCACCTTGTATATTTAACAAAGACTACAAACAATATCTTAAACTTCTCACTGATAAATCTCCAACTTCCAGCCTCCAGAAGTGAGAGAAATGATTGCTGTTGTTGAGAAGTGTTAGGCTACCCAGTCCACAGCTTTCTATAACCATCCAAACTGATTAAGACAGCTGGATAGTGATGGGTTGTCTTCAAATATTTGAAGGGCCATGTGGTGTTCATCTTATTCTGTATGGACAAGGAGATTAGAATTAATAATGTAACTCTTGTCAGCCTACTTTGTAAGAGTCAGAGGTCTCCAAAGAAGAAACCGGCTTTCTCAGGGAGTGCTGGTTTCTCTATCACTAGAGGCTAAGAGCACCCAGCACAGAGTGGGTGGTTGGGTGAGACCCTCTGTAAGAATCCGTTCTGCACTGGAGAGTCTATAGAACTGTGAGGGTCAGAGCTAAGAGCTCAGATCCACAGACCTGGAACTGGATATTGAGGAACTGGATATTGAGAACTGGAACTGGATATTGAGGAACTGGATAACTTTTTGAACAGCTACATTTTCCACTTAACTTTGTTCCTAAGCATCTTGAAACCAGATTTGCATTTGTATATTTTAAGACTCTACACACCTGGATACGCTTCCCTTCAAAGGTTAGCTTGGGTATCACTTCCTCACCCCACCCCAATACCTGCTTAAGTGCCTTCCTCCCCACAACTGCCCCAGACCATTCCACTTCTCACCCTGTAGTCAACTGTCTATTTCATTGTCAGTCACTCCCTGTACTAGCTTCCTAGGGCTGAAGTAACAAATCTACAGATGGGATGGCTTGAAACAACAGGAATTTACTGTCTCACAGTTCTGGAGACTGGAAATCCAAAATCAAGGTGTCAACAGGGCCAGGCTCCCTCTGAGGGCTCTGGGAGTGGCCTCCTTCCTTGCCTCTTCCTTACTTCTGGTGGTTGCTGGCAGTCCTTGGTGTTCCTGAGCTTGAGGTTGCATCACTCACATTTCTGCCTCTGTCTTACCATGGCCTTCTCCTCTCTGTGCCTCTGTCTCTCTCCTCTTCTTCTATGGACACCAGTCATGTTGCACTTAAGGGCCCACCCTAATCCAGCATGACTTCATCTTAATTTAACTAGCATATCTTCAAAGTTTCTATTTCCAAATCAGGTCATGTTCATAGGTACTGAAGGTTAAGAAAGACTTTGGCATATCTTTGGGACAGTGAATTCAACTGACAACATCCCCAACCTCCCATTCTCACCAGACTGTAGCTTTGAGGATTATATGTTTATTCCACATATTTTTATTGTGTTTACTATTAACCACACTCTGATATGGTCACTGAACACAAGTCACAGATAAGGTTCCAACCCTTAGTGGCATTTCAGTTCTACATGGAAGCAGGTAGTAAAAAAATGGCCATTCAATGTTGAAGCCAAATGCCAAGAAATATAGACAGATAGACAGATACTTAATATATATATGATGAAGGACATTAATGCAAATAGTGAAAAACAAAGAATTAATTACTCCATTTCATCTAGCCAGTGCTCTATGACATGTTTAGTGGAATCCAAAACTGTGGTTTCTCTTTGTCCTTTGTGAAACTTTGTTCTCCGGTACTTGCATTCCTACTCTCAACTGACCCCCACCACTCTAACCATCCAAATAACCTTTTTTTAAGTATCAGGAAATAAATCTTGTAAAATATATTCCTGATCTATTTTTAATCCAAATGTGCAGCTAACAAAGGAAACACTCACTGTCTTTGCCTTCCAGGGCGGCGCCAGCTCCCCTCCGTCTCCGCTCCTCCAGATGCCAGGTGAGCACTTCAGCTCCACAGGCCTTTGCTCATGCCCTGTGGGGTGTAAACAGGGCATTTGGGCTTCCATTCTCCTGTAACTGTCTTACAGCACATTGAAAATGTTGCTCCTTTAATTCAGTCATTCTCGAATTTAGAATCCCTTCTGTTTTGAAGACAGCCTTTTGATCACTTGACAAGCAGAAGTTTATTGGGCAAAAGCAATGAATGGCATTTAGGCCCTTGATACCATTTCAAAATATCTATAATTCTGGGACCACAGTCTGATGGATTATGCACCTGCTTTAGCACACAAACAGAGACACCTGTGGACAGATGAGGAAACTGTCATTTAATGAGTGCCCTCTCAAAGTGCCAGGCACTGAGTTAAGTGTGTTTTATTCATTTCAATACGTATGTCTTACTAAACAGTCCTATAGGGACAAAATGGGGGCATTCTTGATAATAGAGGTAGACACTCTCATATGTGCACACACACATCCCTTCCAGATCCCAAACTCAGAAGTGTCATAGTCTTTCTCAGTAATTTTAGCAACCTTCAGAGAGGAATCAGGGAAAGGAATAAGAGCAGGAAAAGATCTGCATGCTTGGATGTCTCTACCTTGTTTCCTGATCACATTTACTGTCACTGGATTCTGCTCCCTTTTACAGGGGAAACATTTCTGTAGCTTCTCTCACCATCTACAATGATTCTTTTTGTCTTTAAGGAGAAAGAAATTATATACTTAAAAGAGCAGAGCATTTTTCTGTGTGCTTATTTTTATTTGGAAATTGGAAACACAGACATAAGACCTGGGAGCTTTGTTTATGTAGTCTTAATTCTGTTCTTAGTCTTAACCACTCCTGTGGATATAGATTTGTGGTGTGAAACAGAACAATATGTATTGATATTAATTTTCATTTGCTCCAATTTTTTCTAGGGAAATATGCTTATGATAAAACCGCTAACAGCAGCTTTCAAATTCATGAGCAGATTAGAAGTTTGGGTCTATCACTTTTAAAATGAAAGTAGAGTAAGTAAATTGTGCTGTGAGTTTTGACAAGGGCTTTTGATTTCTTCTGGATGCATGGTCCACTGTGGTCGGGAGAGGTAAGAAAGTCAAGCATCTGCATCTTCCTCCCAGTTTAGCCCTTTTGGGCCTGGAGGTGTGGGTCTTAGCTAATGAGACCACACCCACCACCAGCTGGAAACTGTTTTACTGGCTTTGACTCCATGCCCCTGAACGTGTTCTAGATGATAATGTCTTTCCTGCTACAGCTGAACTACAGGCTCAGAAAGTTTTTAGCAAACACATCTTTTCCCTTCTGAATCCATTTCACCCGCCTTACCTTAAATACGACTTTTCTCAATTTCAGCTTCTTCTGTTTTGCGCAAGGGAAACTTTCTGTACCAGGCCTTCTCTTCCCAAACTTGTAGTGCCCAGGCTATGGCCACAAGAGGGCAGCAAATAACACGAGACCCTTCAGCCAGGAAATATTTTTCGCGGTCCTTCCCCTAACTTGGCTGCACAGAAGCCCTATCATTCCAAAGCAAGTAAGCCATGCAGGCTAGGTGCCAGACGCGATGTTAGAAGTCAGTCAGTATCCAGAGGATTAGAAGAATACAATCTGACTCTAGAATTGGGGTAAGGTTATAGTATCACCTTATCTAGAGATACTGAATCTCAGATAATAAGCCCAGAAGCAACCTCTTGTTAATGGTCTTGTGTATATGAGGACAGAGCTCAGAAGCAGTGGGAAAGATGCTCCATCAGATAAAATGTCAATACCAGCTTACTTATCTCTTTAAGCCCAACCCCACCCTAGCACTGGTGCCAGACACAGAGAAGGTGCGCAGTGAATGTATGCTGAGTGAATGAACGATTGAAGTTATTGCACCACCTAAAGTGAAATCACCCCCAAAGGCAGAGTGAACTTGAAACATAAAGCAGTAATGCAGCAGTATTCAACACTTTCAAGGCATTTATCTACTTAAATGTTAACCTCGATGTGAGGCATGTGTTAGGAACATCATTCCATAGATGGAGGGATTGGGTTGCAACAGAGATGCCTTGACTTTCCCAAGAGGAAAAATGTGCTTGTTTGTTTTTCATTTGGCAGCAGGTTCACCAGTCATGTCAGGTTACTATGGTGTCAGAAGATCTTTCCTGTCTGATTCCGACTTCCACAACACCAAACAATTTGCAAACGACCTCTGCACCTCCAGCATAGCGAAGCCCTTCCCCTGTGAATCCTCTGCGGGGCAGAGCCACGCCGCCCTCCTGGATTCCTACTTCACAGAGCCCTATGGGGATCACCGCCCACCGGCCCTGACGCACAACACAGGCCCTCTGTTGGGAGCCTCACCCCTGCCGCCACTCCTGCCGCCCCCATTCCCCAGCGACCCCACACACTTTGTGCTGGTGAGTGTGTATATACTCCACAGTTAGGGAGTCACTAAGACGAGGGCTCAGGCAGTCCCACCAGTCCAAGCACTTGGCAACCAGGCTGAAGCCAGGCCTGGCTGGCCCTGGACACCCCTGAGGCTGCTCTACATCTGCCCTGGAGACACCAGGACAGCCAGGATACGCTCCGGAGGAGCCTGCCTTCTGCAGAGATCCGTGCCCCTCACACCAGCAGGAAGGTTGATCCAGGGGTTTGGGCCAGGATGACTAAAAAGGCAGGATTTATATCCATTGGGTTAATGCCCTGCTGGTTTGACCAGATGGTCTCCCACCATTCTTCCAGCACAGGGAAGAGCCGTGAAGTTGAATCTCAGACAAAGGTGGGATTAACATTACTGAGTATCTATTCCAGTCAGGAGCTTCTATGTGTCTTTGGTAATTTACTACTTGCAACTTCCCAGGATGTCATTACTAAAGTCTCATTTTACTGTAAACCAAGTGAAGTGCTCAATCAGGAAGCTAGTAGGTATCACAGCCATAAGTAGAACCCCAAATCTTGCCAGCTCCAAGCCAATGAGATTCCCACAGCTTTGATCTCCAGATCAGACAGTCTTCCCAGCCCACTCCAAGGCCCATTCCCTCCAGGGGCCACTGGCCTATTCCCCACTGTGAAAAGGGCATTCCAGGACACCTAGTATTGTGAAGTTCAAAAAGAATACAAGACACAGTGCATTGTAAATGTCAAAATGCTATATAAATGTTTGTTTTATTATTGTCACATTTCACTCATTTAATGTTGTTTTCTGGGGAAAGGAATCCTAATACATACAGAGAACCTAATTCTGGAGTAAGAAGGGAGCTAACACCTTCACTGCTGGTGTCAATCGCCAGAGGGAAAAGCTGCCTGGTACGGAGGCCTCAGACGGCAGAGGCCTCAGTCCAGCAGCACCCCATGTGAGGGAGAAAATCTGTCCACATCAGAGTGTCATCTCTTGACTAACCCCAGTAACCTTTCCATTCTCCTCAGAGAGACTCGTGGGAGCAGACAGTGCCGGATAGCCTCAGCCAGCTGGACCCTGTGCCCACTGATGCCCTGCAGACCTTGCCACCCAGCATGAGTTGCCTCTCCCAGCTGGAGTCGGGCAGCACCACCCAACACAGGAACTCAAGCTGGGGGGGCCCCGTGGCTGGGGCTCAGTCCTACTCGTTGCATGCACTAGAGGATCTGTATCACACACCAGGGTACCCCACCCCGCCCCCATACCCCTTCACCCCTTTCACAGCAATGTCCAATGACCTACCACCCAAGGCAGTGCCCCTCGCCCCAGACGAGGGGGCAGATGCCTCTGCCCCTCAGGACCCTTCACCATGGACCAAAGAAGATGGGAACATGGTGTGGGGGTCATACGAATGCCGCAGAGCTTACTGAGGGGCAAGCCAAAGAACTTCCACACTTTTATTTTATTTCTTAACTTGGGTTCTATGTGCCACAGATGGGTTTTGGTGTGGCATCTCACTCAGAACTAGGTTGTCAAGATAAGCCATCCCTTTGTTAATGGACAATGGAATTTATTTGTAATATTCCCGAAGTTGTCAGGGACCATATACTAACGAGAAAACCTGACAATGTGGTCTTTTTGGAAATTTAGTAACCCAATGCATTCTGAATCTTCAGCAATCTTTGAAGTATCATTTTTGGCACTAATTTTTTTCTTAAATTACATTAAAAGTTTATGCAGATTCATAAAACATACTGATTTTCTGTTTAATTTTTTATTTAATCGTTATTATATTATTTTCCATTACCATTTAGTCCCCTTACATGCCCCTCCCCCCAACAATGACCCCGCTGTTGTCCGTGTCCGTGAGTCCTTTTCCTTCTTTGCTCAGTCCCTGAGCAAAGGCACCCCCCACCCACTCTCCCACCCAGATGTCACTATGGATGTTCTTTAGTAAAGAGAATGCATAGGATACAATGTAGTTTAGGGCACTAAAACTACTCCATTATATACCCTAGGACTGTAAAGCATTAAGCGTTCTTTGTGTACATTTCTCTCCTTACAGCAGTTTAGTAAAGGCCCAGTAACAAATATGTCACCATATATGAGTGCTTTCTTGTCATTAAAATAGGATGAGGTCAGGACACTATGGCTTCATAAACATATGGTTTTGACTCTTCTCTAAAGCCCAGAATGTCCAAAAATTAGGCTAAGGCAAAAAACAATACAGACCAAAACACAGTAAAGGCCAAAACTTATGTTGATCGATGGTTGCCACAATTTAGCTGCATGTTGTCTCTCTGATGGAATACACCTACAGGGATCAGAGTGGGTTAGTGAGATGGGTATTCTGTGATCAAACAAGAAAAATGCATCACAAAGAAAATACAGAGAGCAGGACTGAGCTGTCGGCAAGGAACAATAAAACACAGAACACCAAGAAGCAAAGGGACTTTGAGGAGCATATATTGTCAGGTGTGGGCCAGTAGCATCACACACAACCGCTCCCATTTAAAGGGAGATCTTGGTAATGGCTCATAGGTCAGAACTGCACAGCTCTTCCTGTGTTTGAATGAAGAAACTGACACCTGAGGCAGTCATCTCTCTTATGCAAGTTTGATGTGGATTCCTTTGTCAATTAAGTTCCCAGCGAAATTTCCACCAAGCAGCATGCCCGCCAGTAGGCAATCTGAATGCCTCGCACACACTTTGACTTTGCAATGCGTGGTTCATGGCCCACAGGTTACACCCACACTCTTCCTATTATCTTCTTATCACCTTCCTTTACTCCCTTACGAATTTTTCTGACCCCTCTGGTCCCTCCTGACCCAATGCCTTTTCCCTCCATCTCCTAGGAGTCCAATCCTCTCATTTTCCACTTGGTTGCCCAAAGCCTCTCAAGAGCCCTCATCACATCCCTTGTGACAGCATCCCATGCTCTATCTCAGTGAGGCAGGCATCCAGAAAATCAAAGGAAGACATTAATTAACACTTAGAAGTGAATAATTGATCTTACTCCTTCTCCAGGTCTTCAAGAGTATTTTCTGGTTAAGCAAACACGCCCCCTGATGTGTGGAGTACCACCAAAATGCCTGGATATAGCAACTGTCTCTACCTCACACCTCTCAGTGCTGTCCTGGGGGAGCATGCCTGCAGGAGCAGATCTAGGGGCATCTGTGGTCCTGGGCTGCAGGGCCGTGCTTTCCCGGGCCCCTGCCCTGCCCTGCTCCTTCCCTCCTGCCCTCCTTTCAACTCCCTGATCCTTACTTTGCTCAGTATTTGCCCTTCAATGGATTGGGGGCAAATTCTACTGTGGGAGAGAGAGCTGCCCTTTTAGTCCACTGAGACCTCAGTCCTGGTTCCCAGCATCCTTGGCAGAGCCACCTGTCAGCCAGTGTCACTCACACCTGGACAGCAATTTCTTCATCAGAAAGGCGAGCCCTGGACCTCTCTATAGATTTAGGGATCTTCATCAGGGTCTTGAAGTCATTTTTCTAGATTGGTTGTATAAGATTTATAATTTTAGTCATCTGTTCATCCCCCTGTTACTAAGCAACATACACAAGAATGGCTGTGTAAATCATAGGTATATCTCCACATCATTTTAACCTTTGTTTGATTATAATGCCAAATGCTAGGCAAGCTCACTTCTCTTAGTTCTCTGTTATCTTCTCATGTATCATGTTCATCCCGTCACAACTGGAGGATGTATTGGCTGCCAGGTAAGTAGTGCCCAGCAACCAGTAGTATCTGCATTCTTCTTAGAGCACCCAAGCCCTTTCATCATATTTGACAAAATAAATTTATAAAAAGGGAGACCTATACGGGCCTATATTCTATCTAGAATCCACTTAAGTTAGCTAGCCTAAAGGGGATGGGGATGGGGAGTGGGAGGTTCCACATGTAAATGATTTTTAAGAATTATATTTAGTTTGACAGTGTGTTTTTATATTGCATACACTACTTTAGTTCTGTTTTATTGTTCTAGGAATTTACAATACTTTGTTAAAAAGTGAAACCAAGCATAAAATTATGACATGGAAGTTAATCATATTTCCCTATCCCATTTCCCAACGGACTGCTCTCTGTTTCCTGCTGCATGCCAGGGGCTAACTGCATCTGTCTGTAGCAGTGCACAATGCCAGCCTGAGGAACAGTGAGCATTCTCCCTCCCTCACCTTCCAGAACCTGCTCTGCTCCCACTCACAGCTTTTCTGGGAAAACCGGAGAAAATTAGAGAGTTCGTGTTCAAAACACCATCTCTTTCAGGTCCTGGAAGATTAAGCAGAGGTAGTGATGTCAAGTTCAAGCTACTTACAAAAGCTTATTACATGATAATATCAAAAAGAATTTGAAAGCAAAGTTTGCCTATGCAAAAGCTGCAATATAAACAATCCTCCCCTAAATCACTGGAAACAGACATTACAGCAGTAGTTGAAAGTGTGTGTGTCTCTTTATATGTTATACAAACCCTAGAAATGAGAGAAGAAAACCACATCTGTGCCTTGCTATTTAACAAATCCTCCTAAATGAGCATTACGACTTGCTACAGTCAATAACAATACGAGGACACTGCAGTGGCAGGGGAAGGAGTGGGGAAGAAATACTCTGTTACTTTGGCACTAGAGCACAGTACAAGAAATTCCACAAAGGAAAAAGAGTTATTAGCCCCAATAGTAAAATACATATTTACAAACATACATACATAATAGATATAAAAGTTTTACTAGTAGCTCTGTGACCCACTATTCAATATGTAAATCTAAATGATACATTCATAAGAAGTGAGGCACTAGTTATATTTAAGGAACTAAAATAAAACAGAAACAGATTCATACATACAGGGAATAAACTGATGGTTACCAGAGTGGGGGCTGGGAGCAGATGGAAAAAAAAAGGTGAAGGAGAATAGGAGGTATAAACTTCCAGTTATAAAACAAATTAGCTTCGGGGATATAATGTACAGCCCGGAGAAAACAGTTGATAGTACTGTAATAACTTTGCACAGTGACAGATGGGCACTAGACTCATGGTGATCACATTGTAAGATATATAAATGTTGAATCACTGTGTTGTACACCTGACACTAATATAATATTGTATGCCAACTATATTTTAATAAAAAGTAAACTGAAAAAATAACTGAAAAAACAACTGATGTCCCAGGTTCAAGTCACTTTACATTATAGTGATTCTACCAATCGCACACCCAAATTATATTTTCTTTAGTTTCTATTACTGGGTTTTTTATGAAGTATCCTCTCTATTCAACATGACACCATTCCTCTTATACACCAAACTCAGTAACCATTGACTCAGAGAGCTAAGGGATGGAGAGTGATCCTTTCAATGACTCATCAAGGGGAGGAGTCGGGAATGGCTCCGTGGTGTGTCCCCAGTAGCTGGCTCAGTGCCCAGCATATCATAGAAGCTCAGGAAAATCTTTGTTAGATTGAACTAAAATTAAACTACGAAGATTGATAACTACTGAGACCCTGGCTTTGTGGGTGATGAGAGATCCCCAAGGCATCTCCTCCTCACCACATTGAGGGGTTAACATTAGCCACACCTTGCACACACCAACGCTATTGGGTATCAGGCTTTGGTGGTAATGTATTTTAAAAAGTTAATTAAGTATTTTTAAATGTCTCTAAAAATAAAAATTACTGAATATTTGAAGCAGAACAGAAAAATGTTTATATATTCATTCTGCATCCATGTGTGTTATAAAGTAAAGAAGGGTTATAAATAAAGGTTATCCAATGTTTGGTATCATCTGCAGTGTGATTAAAACAAATACAAAAATAGAGTAGTAAACAGAATCCCTGAAGATCAGACTAAATAGTGAAAAAAATCTATAATTACATCCTTCTGTAAAGGATGATACAATGTTATCTTTGACATTTGATGTGGAAGTGTCCTCTAATCACAATCCCTGGCAAACAAGATGTGTGGTTTGCAGTATGCAGTGTCATTGTCGGTACACTGCAAGCTAAGAGGAGACAACTGCAAAAATTTTATAAGTTCCAAAAGGAAAAAAAAATGTTGACAAATAATACCTAAGAATTATCTCTATTGCATTAGGAAAATGGATAGATGTCCCTACTGACCTTTGCCCTAACCAAAGGTCTTGAGTGGAATAAACCAAAAGTTTAATGCTTAATAAATTAACTTAGCCATAAAGGAAACTCAACTGTGTATCAACTGTGTTATATCTTAATATTCATAGGCTTTTATCATGGTAATCTTTAGGTATGTTTTCTATGACATATATTGCATAATAAAACTGTTTTGAGTAGAAAATGAACTTTTCATCTGTGATGGTATTCATCTTGTGTGATGGTATTTCCCTTAATGAAATGAAAAATTATCAAAGGTCCATTCTCTATGGCAGCCTCTGAAGGGAAAGTTAAGACTTGGAATATGTTTTATGGGAAGAGACTGATTTACCACAAATCATTAAGTAATCTCTACCTAAAGGTCTCCCTGGCCATTTTCATATGGACCAAACATTCACTCTGGGCCCAGTAACTACTTATTTCCTCCATGTTTTTGGAACTTGACATTTCCCACAAGGTTGGGCAACAGTATCCCAAAGTCAAAATGACAAAAGAAGTTTGCATTAATAGAGGTTAGAGCTGTAGTCAAATTTGAAGAGAATAAACTCCCCCTTTTCCTTACACTGAAAGCCTTTTCATCATGTCTAAGTTTAATAAAATCTCCTCCTTTGTGAGGAAAATATAGTGCTCTGCAGTATCATTTACATACAAAAGACTGACAAAAATTGAGTTAAAAAAGTTAATTTGAAACTTTAAAAAGAAATGTATTCTATTCTCATTATTCTGCATGTTGAGTGACTTTATGAAGGTCAATGACAAACTAAAGGGTTTCTTAGCTCAGTGGCCCAGATATCTGCAGAACTGTAACATATGAAGAACTAGAGAAACTCAAGATGGGGAGCCTCAAAAAGAAAAGCTTTGGGTGGAGGGTGGGCATGATAACTTCTTCAGCTTTAGCACAGCCTGTTCAAAGTAGATAATGAGCATATGCTTTCTGAATGAATGAATGAATGAGTGAGTGAGTGAATGGCCCTAGTGGAGAATCAGTAGCGTGGAAGTAGGAATCAGTTTTCCATGTTACTCACAGAGTAGTTGATGACAGAAAGCAGGACTTACTTATCTTTGCATTCCTGGTACTTGATACCATGCCTGGTACATAGGTGGTGCTCAATTAACACCTTACTGGCTTTTTGCTTGATCAATGATTATATTTAAGGCAGTCTAATCATAGAACAGGCTGCCTGATCAATAGTGAGCTCCCATTTCCTCAGCTATGGTGGGTCAGCAGCCCAGCAAGCAATGGAGAGAACCTGAGGCTGGACAACCACCAGCAGGGATGTTGACAAGTTTCTCAGCACCTTAAAGATCCCTTCCAACATGCAAACATCAGGACCTTATGTTACATTCTTAAGCAAGTGAACCTGTTGAAGCTGTTGAAACCCCACAGTATTTTGCAGCCCTTTATTAAGACCCAAAAATGCTTATCAGGACACCCTAGAGGTAGCAATGCCCTCAGCAAGAGGGAAGAAGTTCCCAGTCTTCAAAGCACAAACTGCACTTACCACAATTAACAGCTCACCCTCCTTCTGTCAGCCTATTCTTTGGGTTCTGATGTCTTGTGTTTACAGAATACTCTCAAGTCAGTATGCTGCACCACCTGAGTCTCCTCACACAACCGAAGAGTAAAACAGTGAACCTAAACACTCCCACATGCACAACAGAGACGTGTGCGTCAGCACATCCTATAGGCAGTATTTCCCCACTGCTAGTCACAGCGCATCAGTGAGCCATTAAATTATCTTAGTCACTCCCAGCCAACATAGATTTTTCATAGAATAAAATGGAAAAAATGGAATACAATATAAAATTTCAGAGTGCTTCAAATGCACAGGTGTACACTGTCTTATGAAAAGTTTGTTTTATAAATATGTAGATATTATTATAGATATAGTACATGAACATGCAAAGTGGATTCCTTATGTGGGTCGAAATTGAAAAAGCTTGAAAGCCTGTGCTATAAAAGATCAGGAAGACAGCAATGATAGTTAAGAGGAAAGGCTTTAGCATAGGATGTATCAAAGTTTGGTTCCCAGTCTTACCATTTAGGGGTCAATAATCTTGGGCATGTTGCTTACCCCTCTGTGCCTGTTCCCCCTTTTGTGAAATGAGAAGACTATACCATATGGTGCCTGGCATCCAATCAACACTCAATAAATGACAACTTTTAAAAAGCCCCTTGTTTGAAACATCCACATGTATGGGGTCCCAGGGCAGACATGGCTGCTCCAGACCTCACGACACATGCAGATCAATAAGAGGATTCACAGAATATACTTAGAAAGGATTCTCCCTTACGCCCCAAAGCATGGTGTTTGGCTCCTGAATACCTGAGCTGGGGCCTTGCAGTTATAGAAAAGCAGAAACTAAAAGTCCTTAATGTTGGGCTAAAAATGGGACTTCTTTCTCAAAATAGGGCTCAGGTCTAAGGAAACCCGGTTGTCTGAAGTTGCAGGCCAGCAATTGCACTGGAATACCTGTCCCAGCAGCAGGTGCCAATACACAAGCCCCCAAAACTGCTGCCATGATTCAAGCAGAGGTTTTCTGGCAGGACAGGGAGGTCTTCACTGTCCCTACAGACCCCGTGATTTCCAAGGAGTTCACCTCTCACCCAGCGCTACCTGCCATCTCCACAGGGCAGCCAACATCAGCATCAACTTCAGTGATGTTGCCAAGGGAACACTATGGCTTCCTGCCATCCCTGTCCATCTCCATGTGAAAGGAAAGGCTAGGAAGGAGACTAAGCCTGAAAATGTGAGACAGCACCTCAGAACAGGGGCAAACAGACACACACACAGGGAGCCAGGAAGGAAGGGAAAAAAACCTCAAAGCAGACAAGAAATGGAGGAAAGCAGTGAAAAGCAGACCAAAAGAAACTCAGAAAAAATAATCAAAGAGGCCAAATAAAAAAAGAGGACGATTTTTAAAAGCAAAACAAAAAAATAATTGTGAAACAAAAAGAAAAATGACAAAAGAAAAAAGAAACAGTGGAAAAAGCTAGTAGGACAAGACACCATCCAAATCCATGCTGCTTTGTTCACTGTTCCTGCAGAAGGAGCAGTCAGTGCCCAGGCAGGGTACAGCAGGGAGAAAGGAAATTGGAACCCTCTGACCTGGTGTTCTTCCCCTCTTCCTGAGTCTGGTCTGCAGTCTAACTTCCAGCAGGGAAACTCAGGGCACAGGCTCAGGGGCCTTTGGAGAAAGAGGCTCCAGAAGCTGTTACAGATTCCAACTAGGCTGGAGACAAGCACACCCTGGCCTGCCCTCCACAGTCAGGTGCCACCTTGGTGGTTCCCAGCCCTGGTCACCTCCACCAGAGACAAGGCTTCAGCTGCCAAGCAATTCCTATCCATCACAGACGCTGGTATCTTGTCATTTCCAGACAGCCCTGTTCCCTCATTGTCTCAGGCTCCACCCTGCATCAGACACATTTGAAGTCACTCAGGTTTTTTCTCATGCTCTGTGGGGCTCAATTCCACTTTTGGAATTCCATTTTCGGGGCTGTGACCGTACACAGCCCCAGGTCATTGGTGAGGGGCTCAGGCCTAGAACACCTCCCCCACCACCTCTTGCCAAAGCCTGAAGGCTTGAGTGTATCCATGTCCTTTCAGCTCAAATGAGCAGGAGCCAATTGTATTATTATTTCTCAACAAAAGCTCCTGCAGCAAACTAGCAGGGATGCTCTAGAGGGAGAAAAGGGAGAAAAGAGGAAACTTCACAGTGAAGAAACCACTAGTCTCTGAAAATCTCCAAACTGCAAGACCCCATGGACAGTCCCCAGCACCTTGCAGAAGAGCAAAGGATCTTAACAAGCAGGCATTCTCCTGAAACCCCCGTGTCTGGGGCCCAGACAGAGAGCAGGTGAAAAGGGAGGGAAGCCTGCTGGTAGCCAGGCAGGGCCAGAAGGAGATGAGGTGCAGAGCTAAGGCCTCTGCTAGGCCTCTGGCTTGCAACCTGAGCCCAGAGTGACTACTTGCCATGTCACACCTACTGGCTGCCATGTTTACTGCTTAAAAAGTAAGATTTACCCCTCTAAAATACAAATAGGGGATGTGGGGATCAGTCTGGCCAGCCAGGCTGGCTCAGGTGGTCATGAAGGGCAGCCTAAGTCATTCAGGGCTCCTGAAGCTGCCTTTGAGGCAGAAATACAGAGCATCTTTGAGCACTCCTGCTCTGTTTGTGGGAAGGTGGGCAAAATGCTCAAAATAAAATAAAAGCAAGGGTCAGGACCTAAAGGGGTCTCACTCCCTGTTTCTCTGGACCCTCTATGGGGTGTCTGTGTGCAGGATTTCTGCAGAAGATAGTCCATTTTGTTAAGCCTTTGAATATTCAAATTGAAAGTACCGCGCAATCATTGATTGTCAAATCATGGGTTTCTAGAGGTTTTAAATACTTGGCATGAGGGGGAAAAAACTCAAACCTATACCCGAAGGTATAAAACATTAATTCTGTTTGTCTCCTGCTCCAGGAACCTGGATGCAGCTGGATGCTTTGTGAAACTTTAAAAATGTTGCATCTCTGCTTCTCTCCTTGTACAGGAGCCCTCCGAAGTGCTGAGTCCTTGCAGCTGCAGCATCCAGCCACGAACCCAGCTTCTGCTGACCACCATGTCGGGTAACTCGGCTGCTTCTCCTGGGGCAGGGTCACACGGGCCAGGGGCATTTTGATATGGGTGTATTTCCACAGCTTTTCCTGCATAGAACAGAGAGGCACAAAGTCAGAGCATACAAGGGTGTGCCGGGGATCCGGAGTAGGCACAGGCCACACTGTGGCCGCTCCCACTCGGCGCCTGCTCCTGAGAGCAGAGGCCCAGGTGCTGAGTTGAACGCTAAGGTCGTCGCCTACCCCGGCCCCCCACCCACCCTCCCACTTTGCCACAGTTGTGACCCGGGAATTTCGCGGCGCGGATTCTGCGCGCCTAAAAGCAGCGGCAGGGGGGAGCTAGAGGCTCGCGGCGAGCCAAGGACGCAAGCGGGGCTCTCGGGTTGCACGCCGCTGAACTGTGGCGGTCCCGTTCGGACCCCTAGCCGAGCCCGCAGCCCGCGGAGCCGCGGACCCGGCGAGAAAATCGCGGGAAGAGACCAGACCGCAGAGAAGACGCGACCCCCATTTTCTGTGGGACAGGCATGGGATTCCCTGGGTTTGGGCGACAAATAGAGCAACCTCCTTTCCTGAGGAGACCCCCTAGCTCCTAAGGCTAGGCCAGGGGGCTTCCCGCAGTGTGTCTCCGCTAAGACCAGGCGAGGCGCTGTCGCCAGGCTCCGAGGTCAGTCGCGGCAGCGCAGAGGCGCTGAGCCCGACCCCTCCCCGCGACGGCACCTCGGTGGCGCTCACTCCCAAATCCTTATCAGAGTCTGAGTCGCCCTAGGCTCCAGCGGCCACTCCCGACTCGGAAAATTCTCCCGGCCCGGCAGAACCTAACAGCCGGCCGGCGCTACTCACTGCGGCTCAGCGAGGCCCCAGGGCTGCCCAGCTCCCGGCGTGCTGAGGCTCGCTCCCCGCCGACCGTCCGGCGCCCGCACGGCTGGCCCAGCCGGCCGGAGCTGTCCTGCCTGGCCCCGCTGGCCCCGCTGGCCCCGCCGGCCCCCGAGGGCAGCCCTTTCCACAGAGCAGCCTCCCGGCCGAATGCGCAATCCTCGGGATCCCCTCCCCGCACGGCTTTCCTAGAACTCGCTCTGCGCGGACTCGACTCGGAGCCTCCCAGCGTGGCGGAGAAATGCCAGCACCAGAACAGGAGGGGGTGGGGAGAGACTGGAGGAAGGGGAGAGCAGGAGCGGGGCCTAAAGAGGGAGGAGGGAAAGATGGAGAACAGGAAAGGCAGAGGAAGGGGGCTATGGAGGGAAGGCAGAAGACAAAAATCGCTAGAAGAGAGGGACAGGGTTCCCAGGGTCTGGGCCCTTTACTGGCGTCAGTCTGGCAGGTCCCTCACCTGCCCAAGGACAAGTCTCGCCCAACCTCACAGTCTGCCCCAGACCAAGGACATGTAGAGGCCGAAGTCTCCCCAGAAGCCACATCTGGCTTGGTGGAGAAGGAAGGGAATCAGTGATTGTGTACCAGTGGGAGCATCACGAGGGAGTGGATCAGGTCAGCAACTACAGATCAGAGAGAGCCCCTGCACCTGTGCCCGGCCCCTCCCCTGGCCCATAATACCCTCCGCCGCGCCAGCAGGCGGGGCCCAGGTACCTCCAACTTAGCCAAGATGGTGAACTCCCCTGGACTGACCTCCACATTCCTGAGCAGAAAAACCTGTATGCTACTGGTCTAGGGATAGGACCCAACCTGAGGTGGGTGGCCCCACAGATTTCCGTATGTTCTGGTCCCCACTGAGGCCCTGCAATCTGCCCAGCTTCTCCTCACCCCTCCAAATTTGAGAACTTTGTGTTTCTTTCCCACTTGCCTTTAGGCATCCTCTTTGTGTTTTCCGAACCTAGAAAGCTGGCCTCAGGTTCCATGGTCTATAAAGAGGACACCCTCACCCCAGACTGATGCTCAAACCTCACGCTTGACCACTGACCCAGCTGTCTTTCCCCAGAAAAGCCAAAGGTGTATCAAGGTGTCCGGGTGAAGATCACAGTGAAGGAGCTGCTGCAGCAGAGAAGGGCTCACCAGGCAGCCTCAGGGGGAACAGTAAGCATAAACCCTTCACTTACTCCCAACTCCTGTTAGGCATCAGGCAGCTGTTAGACATCCTGGGCCTCAGTTGCCACCCAGACCTGGCCTTTCTCAGCTGTTCTTATAAATTTGGTGCCCAGCTTCATCCCAGTTCACCACAGGAAGCCACAAAGAACAGCTGAGGCATGTTTGGGGCTCATGGGATTTGGGGGAGCCCATCCATCCCTGATCCTAGTTGAGTAAGAAGAGCTTGTTGATCCTGTGTAGGAAGAGGGGCAGCCAGTAGGTAAGTAGATTGTTATTCTGTTAGGAAGGTAGTGTGTGTGCTCTCACATATCCAAAGAAAATCTCTCCCAGAAACTTCATTTTAGGAAGCCCCTTCAAGGATAGAATCTCTGTGGAACAGACCCCTTCTCTCCTCATTCTTCTAGAACTCAGCCTCTGAGGTCGTTTATCTGGAAATCACCAAACTGAAAGTTCCCAATGGGAAGGGGCCATGTCTCTGCAGAGGAGACAGCTTGGAATATAAAACCACCTCCTTAAGATGTAATGAAGCCTTTTGCTGTTACAGACCATCATGAGATAGGTCTGGATAGTCATAAGAGTACCCTGCCATTTATGTATATTCTAAACAGACAGTACTGCCAAGAGCTCTCAGGGCACCAGCAGAACCAAATAAAGTAGGTCGGGTTATCTTCCAGGAGAGGGAAATTCATTACTGAAAGCCCTTGATTGTACAATTGCTTGTGGGTTGGTTTAGGTGTGCACAGACAAGGATCTGACAGCTAGGGCCCATATTGCCAATATCAGCATTGGTACTCTCTCAAGCTTATTGGCGCATGTCCCAGCAATGGGTTTTGTGCCTGGTGCTGTTTGTGTGCATTGCAAGACATTCATGAAATGTCTTTGTGAGAAGAAACAAATGATTTAGGGGTGGTGAGCACAGCTCCTAGAACCAGTGGACTAGATTCAGACCTCAGCACCTCAATGGGGTGTGTATCCTCTGAGCAAGTTATTTTGCCTCTCTTGCCTCAGTTTTCTCATCTTTAAACTGGAGGTAAGACTGTGAGAGGGCTATATGAGTTATTGCATATAAAGCAATTAGAAGAATGCTTTCCACATAGTAAGTGCTCAATTAATGCTAGCTATCATTATTATTTGTGAAAAGCAGCTACAATAAAATTGCAACCAAGGCTTGAAAGCCAGCTTTTCAGTAATGTTCATCTGCACCCTTTGCTCAGAGTTTAGAGGTTCAGGTGTGAACTTGCTATGATATGGCCTATACTGTGCAAATTTTAAATTTGGTGGCAAATTTAGTACCTTTATTGCAGAACTTCAGCTAACACAATAAAACTTACTTCTACTTGTAAAGTGTTCTACAGTGGTTCTTTAAAAGCATTTTTTGCACACTCATTTTTTTCATTTAGTTCTTATAATAAGCAGGGGAGGTAAGTAGATCAGGGATCTGTATGCCTCTATTACAGCTGAAGTTCAAAGTCTTGCAGTTACTGATGGTCAAGCTTAAAGTAGAATCAAGGTCTTATTATTCTTAATTAAAAAAAAACTTCCCACCTATCAGCTCCCTAAATGCATCTTTCTGCCAATCCAGCTGTGCTGAGCAAGAGTCTGTTAACCCCTTCAATTCACAGATAATTACAAAATTAATAAAACCAGGAACAAGGGAACTGGGAAATGCTTCTGGAGCAAAGAAAAATCATCAAGATGTTCATAACAAAATGTAATCTTTCATTACGGAGATTTAGTACAAGGTACAATTCTGCTTCAGCTGCCCCTGGAGAAGTCCCACTGGGCATAGTGATTTTATTGCTGTTGGCCTCTTACAGGTTGATTTGGCTACTATTCCCCTGCTAGCTAACTGCAGAAAGGGTTAAATATTTCACTTGTGTATCTGATCAGTATCTGTTCCCTGGAGAGGTTTGGCTTATCTAAGTGTGTCTGAATCTCCCCCTTGAGAAATTATTAGGCAATACTTCTGAACCAGTGCCTTGCAGACAGGTTCCTTGTATAGTATATCTGCCTGTGTCCTCGAAGGCAGGAGGAGTAGCACACAGATGATTTAATTATGAGAGCTAGCTGTACAGTTCTTCTGTGGGACCCAGCAGAAGGATCTGGGATTCCAGGAAAGCTGTGAAGGTATGGTCATTTGGCAAGGATGGCAGATACCAGGGCATAATGTCTGCCTGCTTCTTGGTGTAGACTCCTCTGGTCCAACAGAGATGATCTCTAAGTTGTTCAGTGGTTAAAGGATACCTCTAGGAAGTTTTCAGCCAAGGAGAGAGTTAATTTTATAAAATCCACAAAGCGGGAAGAAATTTATCTTAATTTGTTATAAAATCAGAGTAGTATCCACGATTCAAAATTTTAAGAAGGCAATTGTGAATGTAAGTTATTGACTGAGACAAATATCAGGGCCAGGAGAAATGAGTGCATGCAGGATTTGTAAATTTGATTCACCAAACTTACTTCGGCCAGGCCAGATGAATTTGCAAAGAGCCATACACACACACCCACCCCTCTTACCTTTGGTATAAAGGGAAACTTGAGTTAGTACTTATCAAAAGATATAATTTATCCTTTTTTAACCATTAATTTTTTAACAGCCTTGATGCATTTTTTTAAATTGTAGTATGTGGATTTTTGTGCTGCTTGAAATCTAAGAGAGAGGTACCTTTCTTTGTATTCTTGGACCACAGTAGAACATGAACCCTAACTAGAAAGATAATATCAAATGGGATATTGTAAATATACCTTAGGGAGATAAGACAGGAGGCAGACAAACAGACCATTCTCAGGGAGAAGTGGGGTTAATGAAAACTCTACAATGAGTTTTTAAAACTCACTCCTTCCAAGTCCTTCAGCTCAAGCTGCAGCCAAATATTTGCATGAAGAGCTGGTGAAGGATTCCAGCTTCCTGGTTCATGACATTACAGCATGGATCGTTTTCAAAATTAACACCACCTCCATTTTCAGCAGTGGCTGACTGGACAATCTCCTAGTTGCTCTGGGTATGGTAGTAAGTATACCCTGTAACCCAAGAGAGAGGTGTGGTGAGCTCAGCTTCCAGCACAGAGTCACAGAGCAATGCTGGTCCCTTTAAACTTTAAAGCCACCACCTGAAACTTAAAAAATAATAATAATAAATCCTAAATTACTCAGTTAGTATAACTATGAATTCAACTAAAAAATACAGGCTGCTTTACTTTAAATAGTTAAAAGGAACACTCTTATAAACTTCAAGTATTATAGTAGTGAAAAAAGCACCTTGTACAAAAATTAGTTAAAAACATACAAGGAGTTGAAATATTGCGTGACTATTAAGTAGAATATAGATAAGCTCCAACTTGAGGAGCTTTAAGAAAAAAAAATATATATTTTTTAGTATTTCATAGCTAGTAAGAACATGTGAATATTTTGAGCTATCAGGATTTAAAGAGTTAGGAATTGTGTCCTTTGGGGAAAACAAATTCCTAAGGCTAAGTAGCCAGATAGAATATGAAAGTCTTGAAGAAAATAATTGACTAAGTCATGAAAATTGGGATTAAATAAATGTAAGTTCTCATTCATTTTAAGTTGAATAGTTTTATAGAAAGGCTATTTACTGTTTTCTTGAGCTGTTACATTTCTGTAATATCAAAATCATTTAAATTAATTTTTTACCAAAATTAATAGCTTTAAAATTTAAGTGGGAGAATCTGATATTAGGGAAAAAATCCCTAAGCAAACCTAAAAATTGAATCTAAATAAAATATAATATCAGTGGTATTTAATTGTTTTTAGAAGAAAGATTCTGGCTTACCTTAGAGCAGAAGGCAACATAGTTCACACCAAAATGTCTTAGCTTTCCCTGAATAGAACTTTCATTTCACTTTGCTTTATGGTCTTGCTTTGGCAGCTCTCCGGAGGGAACAGTGTCCACCTTTCAGATCCAGTCACACCACCTTCTTCAGGTCAGTACAGCCAGCATTATAGTTTACTCAAAAACTCTTGCAAAAGCACATCTTGAAAGTCTTTCAATGCTTGATTCAGGGGTTAAGATAGGCACCACCATTTAACTGCAGTCCAACCAATCAGAAGGTGAAAAAGCATAGCGACTCCAGGTGGAAGCCCTGCAAGGAAACTAGAGCAAATGTTTCCTTCTTTCTGAACTGTCTATTCTTTGCTGTCTACTTTGTCCCCAGTTTGTTCTTCTCATTTATTCCAGTTCCTCATCTCTAAGTAACTAAACTAGACTAAAAGAGCAGAATTATTTTTAGAAACTTGTCTTTTTTATTGTACCTTAGTTGGAATACAGAACTCCTGAGGTCCTAGAATCGTGCCTTTGCTCTTGTTCAATCAGTGTCTAGCCAACAGGGACTTCCCTCCCCTTCCTTTTCTCTCTTCCCAGAAAGCAGTTCAAACAACTGGAAGTTTTCTCAGCCCAATACGAATAACTCTATTACATAAACATTCCTGCCTGTGCCACTCAACAGCTAAGAGTTCAAATATAAGGAAACCTGCTTATGGTAGGTAGCTCACCACTGAATTTGCCACTTACACTTAACTTCAAAAGAACCTTAAGACTTCAAAAAATTCCTCTGATGGACACACTCTAAATCTATCATCTTTGAATATTTAAGGATAATAACCACAGATTGGGCCTATTATTACCAAAATGGAAAAGGAGTCATGGTTTCAGAAATATTCTTGTTTGGTATTTAACAACATATTTTAATTCCATTAATCATATTAACAAGTTCACTAAGAAAACATTTTTGCCTTTTGTAATTTAGAACGAATAGTACTAATTTGACCTTTATGTTCCTGGTTTCTATTTCTAATTTGCCTTGCCACTTATATCACTTCACTCCTCAAAATTTAAGTTACTGAGCGAGTGTGAAAAGTTTAGGAAAGTAATAACCCTAACTCAAGAGAATTATTTCCCATGACACCAGAAGTTTTCCTAAAGCCTCAAACAACTCTGTAAGCCCTTTCTGAGAGGTTTACTTGAACTTCAGATAGGAGCTGAATGTGGATGCTTTTTATGTCCAAGAAAGTGGTGGCTTGGGCCATTATTTGACTATGAGAGTCAGACACAGGTTGGATCGCCATCGTTTTATTTTAGCCCCAGCCGCATTCACAGCCAATCCTCACATTATTGACCACATTCATTTCACTGGAACTTCAATTAGCTAAGGCAACTAAAAAATCCCAAGTGCCTGACTGTTTACTTTTCTGGAACTTCTTAAGCCTTCTTTTCCCTTATACATAGTAAATATTCAGAATATAGACTAGAACTTTATTCAAATCGATAACTGAAATTTTTAAACAAAAAATATCTTTTTTCCTTTCTCTTATAGTCTACTTTGAAACTGAATCGAATTCTTCCACACCTAATTATTTTCAACCCCGAGAATTTTCCAGTCATGTTTCTTGTGAAGAAAACCCAAGCTGCCTTGACCAGATCTTGGATTCCTACCTTCAGACGGAGACACACCCCGACCCTTTGCTCAATTCCATGCAAAGTACTCCCCACTATTTCCAGGACAGCTTCCAGGTGGCCCCTTTCTGCTTTAACCAGAGCCTGGTAATTTATCTCTGTTCTTAACAAACTCTGTTTGTTGTTGGCTGTGGGGCAATAATGCTTTGTGAGAATGCATCATCTCATGAGAAAGCATACAAACCGTATCAACAAGGAAAGCATCCAGGAAGCAAACAGAACCATTTACAAGTCAGTGGAGGTGGAAATAGCCACACATTGCCCAAGTTCCTGTGCCAGGTTGGTGTGTGGCAATGAAAAGGTTTCCTGTCAATATACATTTAATGGTTTTAAACTATAAAGTTAAGACATCTACTAATTAGTTGTCACTGATTTAAACCTGGCCTTTGGATTTGGGGGTTCTTGAAAATGGGCTTAAGTCTCTATCTACACAATACCAAACTATCATTTTGATAAATGGGCTTTGTTTTATTTTGCCACTTAATTTGCTCTACTAACTGGTTGTTTTGGTCTGGTTTAGGCACAAGAACTCATTTGAGTCTGAGATAGTTAGTAAAAATGAAGCCCTAACACTTGAAAGAATTTGCATGGTCTGTTCTTGATGGACCTCAAATGTTTGAAAAAAATACAGAAAGGTTTGCATTAGTAGGAGGATACCAGTCATTTAAGATGCATTTTAGATGACTCATAGATATTTTAAACCTTAAAAAGTAAGTTTTTTAATGTAAATCCTTTTTTATTTGAATTTGTCAAAAGTCTGTGTAGGCATCAGACTAAATTTTAAGGGGCTAGGAAATGAACTCCACAGAATATGCATACAGGGCCCCCAATCTTTCAGCCCCAGTTCTACCTGAGTATGTTCACCTTTTCTCCACAGCCAAGGGTGTGGAGAAACATCCAAGGTGCCACCTGCAGCTTATATTGTGCCTAACGCTTATATTGTGGCACATGGTAGGATTTGATGAGCAGGTGACTTGAAGCACAGTGGGATTTTGTGGTTTAAGGACAAAGCATCCTCTAAAGTATGGTTATAACAAAGGAAGCCAGTGAAGCAAGGCAATTTATTGTTGGGAAAGAAACAGGTAAATATAGAATGTGGTGTTATGAAATCATGCAATCAGCAAACAAAATTACTTCTGCAGACTTGGATTGGGTTGAGTGTTTTGTGTCTTTACCCATAATGTTCTTACTCTAAGTTCTTAAATCCACTCTATTCAGTCCTTTTAATCCTGTCTAAGTTATCATGCTCTTTTTTCCTTGGTTTTTCATTTCTCCAGACCCCAGGATCACCTTCAGATTCCTCCACTCTCTCTGGCTCTTTAGACTACAATTACTCGCCAGCACATCTACCTTCATATGCTGTGGAGAATTACAATTCTCCTCCTTCTCTGGATACCAGAAACTGCGGCTATCCATCAGAAGACTACTCCTACCCTCCCTTGCCCTCCCATGCCCAGGACGACTGCTTCTTCCCAGCCCCCACCTCAGGCTGCTACTGTGTGTCCTGTGAGGCAGAACACTTGGCCACCGTAAGAACATCTGAGTATTTTTCCTGTCCCAGCACAGACTATGTGAACTTTGATACCTCGCCAACAGCATCCAGTGATTTCTATACCAGGGAAACAAACTGTGATATCTGCTATAGTTCATAGAGTTTCATTAATTTGGAATATGGCGTGCATATGTCTATTGTTCTGCCGCACCAAATGACAACTTGAAATAGGTAACTTGTTAACAAAATATCACAGGCACAGTTTACATGCCATTTTCAGTTTTCTGACACTAACTTAGGCGTTAAGATGAACCAGACCCTGTGTTTGTGCCTACTTTGTATGCTTAAAGTTAAAAGTTTTGTTAGGAACATTCAGTTGTTTTACTTTTCTGTATAATGAACAAATTCTAATTTTCTACTAATAAATAATTTTGTATTACTAAATGTTGGCTTACTTGTTAAGTTTTTGAATAATAGTTTCCAGCTGGTTTGAATAATATCAATTACTTCTGGAAATCACTAATTACTCTTCAGTAGATTATAATCTCACTTATTCATGAACCAAAAATTATTTTGATTTGGTAAAGTGCCTGGGCTCCCAGGGGGGATACAGAGTAGACACAGCTGTGATGGCAGAAAAGTGAAAGTCAGCCTCACCTTTAAGTGAGGGTATATGTACATCTTGGAGCAACATCAGAAAAAGACATTTAAGAATCATTAATTTCTTGTATGTAACATTAGCCAATGAAATATTAATATGACCAATATTAAGCACATCTTACCTACAGCATGTTACCTACAGGAATGTTAACTTGCAGATAATTCTTTTTTATTTCCACAGTATTGTTTTGTAAATGTTCTGGGCAAATACTTGATCTTCTTTCTCCTGAGGGTGCCTTGCAGTTGATGCATCACGAAGTTTAGAATTTGTTGCTATCTTATATTTCTGAATTTCTGCTTCAGGTCCTAAAATATGCATCACTTATATGTATAGATTGATTTATGGGATTGGCCATGTTGTTTACAACTGAATTTCAGAATTTATTTTTTGACTAGTCATTTGAACAAGCCCAACCATCTGTCAAGGTGAAGAGAGTTATTTAAGCTACCTAGGCTAGACCATATTGTTAAAACCTGTTTGCTGAAGGCACTAAGGCACAGGACACAATCCCTGCACTGGGGTCTGGGAGGCATTTTCCATGTCCCTGGGTTTAGCACAATTACAGCAATACTGGTACCATTGGCACAGGCCACAGCTGTCATTTTCTGAGTGCTTCCTGTGTGCCATAATTGTCTAAGGGTTTTGTCACAAATCATCTCTTTTAATCTTTACAACAACATTTGTAGCAAAATGAGGGGTCTGAGACTCAGAGAAGTTCAGTCACCTGCCCCAGGTCACCCAGCCAATACGTACCCGAACTTGAGTCTGAAGGACATCAAACACGTGCTTCTTACTCACTCTTCAGGGATGGTGTAAAGTTTGATCCACCATTTGTAGAAGACTGTTCAGGAACCTGTGGAATCATACCCCATTAAACCCCAACGTCCTCATGCGTGCACAGGTGTGACCCCATCATAACTAACCAAAGCTCCCCAGAAAGGCCAGCCTGTCCATAGGATACAAAGATGGGAAGCACAAGAGCTTTCAGTTTAGGGACCAGGGAAGAAGCTAACCAACTGCCACCTCAGTGGGCCTCTTTCTATCAGGAGGTAGACATGCTTTCAAAATGACACTGATTGCCTCCTCCCTTGAGACTCCCCGAAGGTGAAGGCTTAGGCAAACAGGACAAGTTGCAACCTGCCTCCTGGGATAAATGTGCCAGGGAAACAGAACAATTACTGCCTTTCTAAGATGCCAACGAAACTAAATTTTTAATAGCTTCAAACTAAATTGAAACTGGCCTGTTGTCAACAAATATCTGTTCACCTAGACCAAAGCCCCTGCACACCCTCCACCCTACCCCAAAGAGACAGAAAGCAGAGAACTGAAAGATGCCTAGTGACTGGCATCAAAATATCCCTTTCTTGGACATCATTCATTTTTTTTATCCCCTACTTGTGTCCTCTGCCTTCTGAGTCAATTATCTTGCAGCTCTAACATAACATTTCTACCTCCCTGTTTCTTGTTCTTTCTTCACATGCCTCTAACTTTTTGCCTGAATCTAGTGTGAGAAAAGGTTCGTAAAGGAATGTGAGACAAGGGCTAATATGGCTACTATGCATCACAATGAGTAAGTCCACCTTAAACTGATCTTTAAGATCTTCCTTACATTTGGAATAACAGGTCACATGGCACACAATGAAGTGGCTGGATGCTGCTCACCCAGTCTGTTAATCACCCCAGCACACACAGAACTACAGTGCAAGTCAAACACTGCTAGCAGCACTGAGGCAATCTAGAATGCCCCTCCTCAACATAGGCCTTGGAAGCTGTATAAAATATGGATGCCTGTGCCCAGTGTAAGAAAGCATGATTCGGTAAGTCTGTGGTGGGGCCCAGCCATCAGCATTTTTTAATGTACCTAAGTTGACTCTGATATAAATCGTCTTCTATCTACACCTGAAAAACACTGACATATTCAATGTCTGATTGTTCACTTATAGGACCTTTCAGTACAATAAAAATAAGTTACAAGAACTAAGCTCTTTCTATGGGCCTGTGCTGTGGGCCTTACCTTAGTGAATGCTCTAACAACCACACAAGACAGATACTATTGTCCTCATTTTTATTGATGGTGAAACTGAAGTTTGGAGAGATAAAAGAACATGCCCAAGGTCACACAACCTATAAATCAGGTTGTCTGATGCCACGGTCTGAACTTCCAAAAGCCTCAGTAAAGTTTCCAAACATTAATTACACTTGGAGGAATCTGACCTTTTGTCTTAAAAGTCACATGTATATCTGTAGCCAGTTTCTCATACCACAGAGACATTTATAAGATTATTATGGAAGTTCAAATGATTTTATTATTCAGAACCATTAGAGATTAATAAAATAAAATATTAATTAAATGCTTACCATGTGTGGGATTGATCAGATGTCTTCAAAATGTAGCCAAAGGTTTAAAGGGTATATAATTTTTTTTCTCTTTTATTGAATTTATTTTGGGTGACATTGGTTAGTAAAATTATATAGTTTTCAGGTGAGGGGACATAATTTAAAAATTTTATTTCTTTCCTTTCTTATTGAATTTATTGGAGTGAAACTGGTAAGCAAAATTATACAGGTTAGAATGGGTATGAAGTGATTTTCAAATTCTTAAGAAACTTAACTTAGGGGTCAGCCTTTCAAGCCTGAGATAGATAAGATGAGACAAAATTGAAGGTAGTCAGCATTTGGAAACTATTACCTCCGGCAATGGCCCGGAGTGGCGACATCCTGGCAGCCTCCTGAGCCTGCAGGTGGACAGCAGGAAGTAGGTCTAGATAAGCATAGCTGAGACCAGGAGCCTAGCAGTGTGTGTGTGTGTTGGGGGGGGGGGGGGGCAGGTCAAGGAGAAGGTGCAGGTAGGGTGCTACCTTTTGCTTAAAGAAAATCTTTAAAAGTCATATTCAGTCAAGAGAGATGAAGGCTAAAAAGAGTGAGAATTGAAGCTAATAAAATTGTGAGTACTGTAACTTAAGCATGACTTACCATCATTTCTAAATCCTCAAACCCCATGTAACCCCCAGTACAAGCCCTGGCAGGGCTGCCCAGGAAAGTGATGAACCCGTACACTACCTCCCTTCCTTTTACAGATAAGGGGGGAGGATGTCCTGCCTGGAAAACAGGTTCTGTCCGAGGAGGCTAGATTTGAGTGTGGCAGGGAGGGCCCATTTGGGCCTAGGGGACTCTGCTTTCACAGGTAGGGAGATTTGCCTCACTGCATATGTTCCAAGAGGCCTCAGGGTAAAATATAGGGTCTGGAGGATGGACAAATCTGAGAGGACTCAGCTCTACCTAGTAATAAAGCATCAAACTCATTGAGGGCAGGAATATGTGTCCACTTAGAAAATAGTTTGTCTTCCTTAATATGGACAGAGAACATGCCGTTGGTCCTGGGCAAATGTGGAAGTGCAGGCGTGTGCGGATTTGTCTGTGATCCATCCTTTGCCACCTGGATAATCAGGAAGAAAGAAGAGACATCTGCCCTTTAACCTGGATTGCACCTGAATGCCAAAGCTCCAAAGTCACCACCTCTTACCGCCATTATGAAATTCTTCATTGACTAAGCCAGATTTTGAGGAGAGCCCTGCTGTCAGTAGTCAAGTTGCCTTTATGGGAGGATGTGGTGGATCCTAGGAAAAGACCAATTTGGGGGTAGATCACTTTCCCTAGAGGGGGTAGTGTAAGAATCATGGCTGTGCAAAGAGAAAGGCATTCTCTGAAAGGAGGTCTCATAACGGAACAAAGGATCTAGGCTAAGAATTCGGTTACTCCTCAAACAGGCTCCCTGTGAGAGGTTCAGTTCTGGGGGGCTTTTCTTTTGAACTGTGATCACAGCTCCATTCAGCACCATGTTTGAATTTCTCCCCTCCCACACTATAATTCCTGCTGGTTAACTGCAGTTGCCGTTCAGGAAGCCTGGCTCCAGGTAGATAGTTGGGTATAAGCACAGAGAATAAAGTGAAGGAACTTTACAGGGTTATGTGGCCTGCCCAAATCAACCTGCAATGCTGAGACTTGTGTGGAGCTGGTAGCATTTATTGTAGGGACCTATGGTGCAGAGCAACCAGGAAGAAGTCTGTGGCCAGTGAGTGGTGGCCATGGTGGAGACGAGACTCATGGGGAAGAACATGGATTGAGAAGCAGCAGCTCCAAGGTACAGGTAGAGAATCACAATGCTTGAACATGAAAGAGGCTAGAATTCAGGTCATGCCAATACTTTAAGACAAATAGAAGAAAGTTTTTACACATAAGGTAGTAAACTTTAAAAACCATATTACCCATACGAGTTGAACATTTAAATAGTTTTATAGGCATTGAGATTAATTTGACTGATAACATTTTAGGGACCCAGAGATCATCCATTTCACTGGTCCTCAACTTTGGCTACATATTAAAATCACCTGAGGAGATTTTTTAAAACATTGACATTCAAGCCTCAGACCAGTGAATCACAATCTCTGGGGTGGGTTTATGCATTGGAATTTTTGTTAACTCTTTGTTTTGAAATTATAGGAAGTTTCAAAATTAATACATAAAGTCATATGCATTCTTCATCCAACTCCCCTCTATGGTGATTGACATCTTAAATAACTCTACTACAACATCAGAATCAGAAGTTGACACTGGTACAATGCTATTAGCTAGATCACAGATTTTATTCAGGTTTCACCATTTTACATGCATGCATTTATGTGTTATTGGTGGGTGTGGGTTTTGATGAAAGAAACATTGATTTTTTTTAATCTCC